GATCTGGAATGTTAGGTCCATAAATCAAGGAAAATTGGACATGGTCAAGTAGGAGATGGTAAGAATAAACATCAACATCCTAGGAATCAGCAAACTAAAGTGGACAAGAATGGGCAAATTTAATTCAGATGACCATTATATCTACTAATGTGGTAAGAATCCCATAGAAGAAATGGAGTAGCTCTCAAAAGAGTCCAAAATGCAGTACCTGGGTGCACCTCAAAAATGACAGAATGATCTCGGTTTTTTTCCAAGGCAAGCCATTCAACATCACAGACATCCAAGTCGGCGGCCCTACCACTGATGCCAAAGAAGCTGATCAGTTCCCTGTAGACCTAGAAGACCTCCTAGAACTAACACCTAGAAAAGATGGTCTATTCATCATCAGGGATTAGAATGCAAAAGTAGGAAGTCAAGATATACTGAGAGTATCAGACAAATTTGGCCTTGGAGAACAAAATGAAGCAGGACAAAGACTAATTGAATTCTGCCAAGAGAATGCACAAGTCATAGAAAATACCCTTTTTCAACAACACGAAAGATAACTTTACACATGGACATTACCAAATGGTCAATACCAAAATCAAATTGATTACATTCTCTGTAGCCAAAGAGGGAGAAGCTGTATACAGTCAATAAAAACAAGACCTGGAGCTGACTGTGGCTCAGGTCATCAGTTTTGCATAGCAAAATTCAGGCTTAAACTAAAGAAAACTGGGAAAAACATATGCCAGCCAGGTATGACTTAAATTCCATATGAATTTGCAGTAGAGGTAATGAACAGATTCAAGGAACTAGAGCTAGTTAACAATGTGCCAGGAGAACTATGGACAGAGGTCTGTAACACTGTACAGAAGGCAGTGAACAAAATCATCCCCCCAAAAAAAAGAGAAACAAGAAGCCAAAGTGATTATCTGAGGAAGCTTTACAAAGCTTCGAAGGAAGCTTCGTCCAGCAGATGAAGGAAAAGAAGTGAAAAGCAAGGGAGAGAGGGAAAGGTACAACCAATTAAACACAGTTTCAAAGAATAGCTAGGAGAGACAATAAGTCCTTCTTCAATGAACAGTGCTTAATAAGAGAAGAAAACAACAAAAAGGGAAAGACTAGAGATCTCTTCAGGAAAACTGGAAACATCAAGGGAGCATTCCACCCAAAGATAGGCACAATAAAGGATAAAAATGGTAAAGTCCTACTAGATGCTGAAGAGATCAAGAAGAGATGGAAAGATTATAAGGAAGAACTGTATAAAAAAAGATCTTAATGATCTGCATTACTACGATGGTGTAGTTAGTCACCCGGAGCCAGACGTGTGAAGTCCAGTAGGTTTTAAGCAGCACTTCTGCTAGTAAAGCTAGTGGATGCGATGAAATTCCAGCAGAATTATTCACATCCCTAAAGGAGGGTGCCATCAAGGTTCTGCATTTATTATGCCAGCAAATCTGGAAGATCCAGCAGTGGCCACAATACTGAAAAAGATCAATCCTCATCCCAATCCCCAAGAAGGGTACTACCAAAGAATGTGCTAAACACCAGACTATTGCACTCATCTCACATGCTAGTAAGGTCATGCTTAAAATCTTGCATGCTAGGCTTCAGCATTAAGGGAACCAAGAACTTCCAGATGTCCAAGGTGGTTTCAGAAAAGGAAGAGGAACTAGAGATCAAACTGCCAACATTCACAGTATTATAGAGAAAGCAAGGGAATTTCAGAAAAACATCTATCTCTGTTTCATCGACTATGCTAAACCTTTGACTGTGTGGATCATTACAAACTGTGGAAAGCTCTTAAAGAGATGGGAATACCAGACCATCTTACTTGTCTCCTGAGAACTCTGTATGCAGGTCAAGGAGCAATTGTTATAACCCTGTATGGAACAACTGATTGGTTCAAGATCGAGAAATGAGTACGACAGGGCCTTCAGCTGTCACCTTGCTTGTTAAACCAATATTCTGAGCACATTATGAGAAATGCTGGGTTGGATGAGTTACAAGCCAGAATCAAGATAGATGGGAGAAACATCAACAACCTCAGATATGCAGATGACATCACTCTAATGGCAGAAACTGAAGAGGAACTAAAGAGCCTCTTGATGAGGGTGAAGGAGGAAAGTGAAAGAGCTGGCTTAAGATTAAATATTAAAAAAACTAAGATCATGGCATCTAGCCCCATTGTGAAGTAGTAGTGAAAGTCACTCAGTCGTGTCCAACTCTTGTGACCCCATGGACTGTAGCCTGCAAGGTTTCTCTGTCCATGGGGTTCTCCAGGCAAGAATACTGGAGTGGGTTGCCATTTCCTTCTCCAGGGGATCTTCCTGATCCAGGAATCAAACCCATGTTTCCTGCATTGCAGGCAGATTCTTTTCCAACTGAGCTAGGAGGGAAGCTAGGAGGACTTCCCTGGTGGCTCAGATGATAAAGCGTCTGTCTACAATGCAGAAGACCTGGGTTCAATCCCTAGGTCAGGAAGATTCCCTGGAGAAGGACATGGCAACCCACTCCAGTACTCTTGCCTAGAAAATCCCACAGAGGAGCCTGGTGTCCATGGGGTCGCAAAGAGTCAGACATGACTGGCATCTAGCCCCATTACAGCATGGTAAATGGAAGGGGGAAAAGTGGAAGTAGTGACAGATTTCCTCTTCTTGGGCTCCAAAATCACTATGAATGGTGACTGCAGTCATGAAATCAGAAGACGATTGCTTCTTGGCAGGAAAGCGACAATGAACCTAGAAAGTGTATTGAAAAGCAGAGACACTACTCTGCTGACAAAGGTCTGTATAGTCAAGGCTATGGTCTTCCCAGTGGTCACGTATGGTTGTGAGAGCTGGGCCATAAAGAAGGCAGAATGCCAAAGAATTGAACTGTGGTGCTGGAGAAGACTCCTGAAAGTCCCTTGGACAGCAAGGAGATCAAACCAGTCAATCTTAAAGGAGATCAACCCTGAATATTCACTGGAAGGACTGATGCTGAAGCTGAAGCTTCAGTATTTTGGTAATCTGATGGGAAAAGATGACTCATTGGAAAAGTCCCTGGTGCTGGGAAAAATTGAGAGAGAAGGAGAAGAGGGCATCAAAAGATGAGATGGCTGGAAAGCATCACTGATGCAATGAATATGAACTTGGGCAAACTCCAGGAGATAGTGAAGGACCGGGAGGCCTGGCCTGCTGTAGTCCATGGAATCACAAAGAGTCCAACAGGACTGGGTGACTGAACAACAACAATGGTAATTCTACATTTAACTTACTGAGAAACTTCTAAACTATTTTCCACAGTGGCTGCATCCTTTTACATTTCTCCACATTCTTTCCAACACTTGTTATTTTCCACTTGGTGAGGAGGGAATGTAGGGAGGACATAGAATATCTTGTCTTAGAGGGGATGATGTGATATTAAATTGTGGTTTTGAAGAAAGTGAGAAGCAAAAGTCACTCGGTTGTGTCTGACTCTTTGCAACCCCATGGATTCTATAGTCCATGGAGTTCTCCAGGCCAGAATGCTGGAGTGGGTAGCTCTTCCCTTCTCCAGGGGACCTTCCCAAGCCAGGGATTCAGCCCAGGTCTCCTGCATTGTAGGCGAATTCCTTACCAGCTGAGCCACCAGAGAAGCCCACATTGTGGTTTACGTTTCCCAAATAACTAATTGTGTTGCACATTTTTTTTCAGGTGTTTATTGACCATTTGCACATCTTCTTCAGATAAATGTCTTTTCAAATCATTTGTTCATTTAAAAACTTGAATTGCTTTTCTTTTTATTATTTAGTACTAAGAATTCTTTATATATTCTTTACACTAAACTCTGATGAATAATTTGTAAATATTTCTATGAGTTGCCTCTTCACTTTTTGATAGTGTCTTTTGGTGCACAAAACTTTTAACAAAGTCAAATTTATGGTTTTCTTTGTTTGGTTGTGCTTTTGGTGTCATAACTAAGAATCCTAAACCAAGATTTACACCTATGCTTACATTTAGATCTTTAATCCATTTTGAGTTAGTGTTCCACATATGATGTGAGATAGAGGCCAGCTTCATTCTTTTGCCTGTAGATGTTTACTTTCCCTTCACTGTTTATACTTCAATGTGCTCTCATTTGATTCTGATTTCCCCAGACATGCATCATCTTGACATCATCACATTTGTTAGAACTGGATTGTGATTGATATTTATTTTTTCTTTATCAAATTATCCTTGCATTTAAGATATAGTTTAGCTTCTCATCAAATATAGTTTAACTTTTCTCCTTCAACATTTGAAAATAAAACTCTTCTGTCATTTTTATTCAGTGTTGTTGTGCATCTAATTTTTGTTTGAGCAATGCTACTAAAGTGTGATCCATATGTGCATGTATGCTAAGTCACTTCAGTCATGTCCAGCTCTTTGTGATCCCATAGATGGTAGCCTGCCAGACTCCTCTGTCCATGGGATTCTCTGGGTAAGAATACTGGAGAGGGCTGCCATGCCCTCCTCCAGGGATCTTCCTGACTTAGGGGTCAAACCTGTCTCCTGAGTCTCCTGCATTGCAGGTGGGTTTTTTACCATTAGTGCCACCTGGGAAGCCCCAAAAGTGTGATCCATAAATCAGTGCATATTTGTAAACTGTTTCTTACTAATTCTTCATGAAACAAATATAGAAATAAAGTATTACAAAATTTATAATGAATTGATAGAAAATGTTAGGTATATGATATTTAATAATAAAATTACCACTCATATGTCTTTGTACTCACTTCATCATTTGCAGTAGTTTATTCAGAAAAGTATGTCTGTGGTATATAATACATAATGCAAGAAACATTGACAACAAACCACAAGATGGGAAAAAGATTTTTGAGAAACACTGCTTGACGTGGCTAGAAACTTTGGTCATGCAGATTCATGGAGACTTAAGTCAAGAGGCCTCATAATTGGTGGTCCTGAGGACACCTGTCAGGACTGGAATCCTTGGGTTTACAAAAAATGGGCTACTATCTTCACAATTTATAGGTTTTTATTCTAAGTCACTTAATATCATGCAGATGGGGAGAACTCCATGGATTTCAGTTTGAAGTAAGGATAGACTGACCCAGAGATGTTGGCCTGGTTGAAGGAGAAGATGTGGGTTCCATCAATCATGTTATAGAAAGAAATGTTACTATCCTCATAATCCAAGAATATCACAATCTTTTGTGGACACTTTTCAATCAGGAGAGACTCTTCCTGGGAAATGCTTTGGCAAGAACAAGTGAGAGCCCTGTATTCACATCCCTTCTTCTCTAAGACGTTGAACTTCATCTTCTCTAGATCACTCTTCTCTGTGGGCTCGTCATAAATGCCTAGAGTCCATTCATCAGTGTCCTCAAGGTCCACCTCCCAGTAATGTCTCCCCTTGGTGAATCCTTTCTGATCAAGTTTGAGAAGATTGCCACCTCTTTGCCTATTACATAATACTGCCTGAGGTTCCTTTGTGAAGTCAGAATTGTTCTGATGAACATTTTCATGATTGACACTCACAAGAACTGGAAGAAATAAAAAGGAAAGGATAAAGCCAAGATGGCATATTTCAGAAAACTGTTGTACAGGGGAAACTTTAACAAAACAGAGCAAATGTGTAAGGAGTGGTGAAAAGAACACCTCTCCTCTGAAGGTGTGTGTGTTGGGGGAGGTGGAGCTGGGTGGGAGGGGGGTTTGATGTGTTCTCTTGCTACTTGTTCTTGCTAGCCATTCTATGCTACTTGTCTTATCTTTGCCATGGTCAGTGTTTTGACAGAGTGCCAGAGTGTGCAGGGATCTTTGAATGTTTACTGAAGAATGGTGTCCCTGTCATGTTCTCTGCAAATTAGTCCTATTTTCCTCAGTTAGTCACAGGCTCCATGTGATCTGACCTCTCTACAAAGAAGAGCTGAACTGCTATGTTGAGCCCTTTTTACTTAGTGTGGGGTCTCCTCAGCTGGGGGGCTATGTTAATTTCTGTTTCAGAACCAAGTGGACCCCACAGACAGGGAGCTTTGTCAGTATTTGAAAGGGGAAGCACAACCAGAGTAGCTAATCCTAGCAGCAGTTGTCAGTTCAGGCTAACACTGAATGCTTCTCATGTCCTCCTTCTCTTTACGAGAAGAGTAGTGCCTGTCTTTTCAACTAGGAGAGGATGTTAGGAAGGATAAGCAGGGTCTCAGAGGGGATCTCAGAGGGCAGGTTAGAAGGGAGTCAAAAAGATAAATAAAGAACAACTTACCATGTTCAAACTGTTCCTTCCTCCAGTCTGAAACAGAGCAACATGAATTGAAACCAGGCAGAAGTATACCCAGGGGATGAAAAGGAGATACGATGATTTTCCTGACCCATCACCTTCTCGTGGGACATTCCCTTCCTCCTCTAAACTCCTCAAACTCTGGTAGTGTCCAGAAACTACAGGACAAGTAGTATGCTTTCTGTGCTCTCAGATTAGAAACTATCACATAATTCAGCCTGAAGCTGGGGCTGTTCTCCAGCCTAAGCCAGGTTTGGAGACCCCAGGAGTAGGGTCTGATACCCTACATGCCACTCTACTGTGCTCTCCAGACCTCTGTGGGCCTCCTCATTGATGATGAGAACTATAAAATATATTTTTAATTTAATTCTATTCTATTCCTCCTCTAAACCCCTCTATCTATTTACAGCTTTTCTGGCCTATGATCTCCTTAGAGTTTAAGTTTATGACCAAAGCATTTAAATGAGCCCTTATTACTTTGACCCAGATTGTAATCGGATAGCTTATATTTTTTCTCCAGAGACAGATTCCTAGTGGGAAAAAGAATTGCATCTGCTTCTGCCTGTGGCAACTTCTCTTATAACAGGCCTTGTGATTTTATTTGAAGACGGTATTCTCATTGAGTCTTGAGACAATAGGCAGATAAGGACCCATCCATAATTTTTGGCTGGAGCAGCTCTGTGGTCCCTCACTAAGCTGCCCTCCTGTCAGAAGTGGAGCACTCGGATGCATGGAATCTATAAATATATGAGTCAAGGAGTATATCAGAGATCATGTATTCCAGTCTCTTCATCTAAAGAGATAAAGACACTGAATTCAAGAAATATCAATAACCCTACTTCCCAGTTGTAATTGACAGATTTGGAATTAAAAATGTCAAAAGTTGTCCTTAGTACTTTGCTCACTCCTTTAGAAACAGAGGAACATTATTCAGTATCTCATAAAAGAAAACTCTTAACAGAACTGCTTAATCAGCTTTAATCCTTGGGAGGAGTTCCTCCGACCTTCTCTTATCAGAGCACTCATCAGGTTGTGTGTAGTTGCCTGGTTCCTAATTTCCTTCCCCCAGTGGACTTCAAGTTCTCCAAGGTCAGAGATAATAACTTGTGCCACCAACATCTAGCATGCCTGGCATACAAAACTTGCATAGATATATATTCAAGGAATGACCTAGTTCGTTTTTCAGATCCAGCACCATATTCCACACACACACAAACAGAAACACATGAGTTATAAACCTACGGAATACGTAGACACAGATTTCAGAAGGTATAAAACTAGCCAATTCCCCCGACCTCCAGATAAACATATTTATGCAGAAGATATTAAAATATTTTGAAAAACTGTTTTCCAACTTTTTCATACATAAACCTTCTCCCTCTATATTGAATTTTACTTTCTTTATTTCAAATAGGTAAAATAAGTAAAATCATAGTTAATATACTTTTCTGAATATAAAATATATTTTCTGATCTTTTAAAATTTATTTGCAGAGTAAAAATGCTGACATAATATATTCTTTATTCTTCCCAAATCTCCTCAAAGTCACTCTGAGTTCCATCTTTCCCTTCTCCATAGTGCAAGGGCTAACAAGTCACATTCATGTTGTGTCCTACCCTAGTCATGTAGTGGAATTGACTAGCCAGCAGTTATTTCTCCTTCATTATCAGCTCTGGAAGACAATAGGTTATTTGAGTCTCCAAATACAAAATACTACAGAGTGATACCAAATAAAAATTTCACAACTTTCAAGTGTGTGTACGTGTGTTTATATTTATGACTCTGCTTATTATGCTCAGAATACCAGAGGCATTTGGCAAGACAAGGGCCAGAGGTTTACGTACCAGGATATATCAAGGCCTTCTTCCAGTCTAAAACAGAACAAATACAGGAAAGACAAGATGAGACATTAATCTGCAACCTCAAATTTCTCTTCCTTTCCATAATTTCTCTTCCTTTCCATAATTTCTCTTCCACTAATCATCATGAATCCTTTAGTCTTTTCTCTAAGAATAGGGAATTGAGAACTTGTTGGACATCAGGACATCAGTGGACATGACTGAGTTGCTTACCTTTATTGTATAATGCCTTTCGTTGTTCTGAAAGAAACAACATTCAATGAGAGACCCAGAACAGGTGTGGAAAGGGGTACAAATTCTACACAGGGCATGAGAAGAAGTAAGACTCACCGAGTTCTTCCTCAAGCTTCCCTGAAAGAGAAAGATATAAAAAATCCATCAAATTAAATTTTAGTTGCTCCTGAGCCCAGTGAGTAGCTAAATGAGCTCAATTTGACCTTCTCTTAAGGATCCCATAGTGAAGCAGGTGAGAAGATTAACGAATATCTTTGTCAAATGTAAAAGGGCAAGCTCTAAGAAAAGTTATGTGGGAAGAATCCTGGGGTCACACAGGAAGGGAAGTCCATGCTTCCTGGAAGTTTGATTTCTTAGGTGTTTCTGGAGTTTATTCTTGAAGGATAAAAAAAGGAAGAGAAGATAAAGGAAGATATTTCTGCAAAGAGAAACAGATTGGGGTACAGAGACTTAAAAGGGCACGGTGTGGATTGGAGGCTTAACACCACTGCCCACAGATCTCCTAACTTCCCATGTGGTTTTCTCCTTTGCATAGGACTCCCAGTTCTGTGGGATTCTTGGCACCCTGTATTTTCCTCAGGATTCTTCAACAATTTTTTATTTCCCCATCTACCCTGCACACACAGTATCTGCAGCTTTTCCAGGAACCTCTGATTTGACTTGCTGCCCGATTTACTTTTGGCTGAATGTGCCTCTTCCTTTTCTTTCGCCACCTTGTCTCTTTCCTGAGATGCTTCCTTCCTTTTCTCTGCTTCTCTGTTTTTGGCTTTATGTTGTCTCCAGCCAGTGTAGCTGATCCCAATGAGGAGAAGCACCAGCACCGGGAGTGTCCCAGCCAGGGCTGTCTTCCATGGAGACGTTCTGGGGAAGAAGGGCTCTGACACAGGCATGTGGAGACACAGTGAGAGACAGACCTGGAGGAAGCCCCGCCCTCTCTCCCAGGCTCCCTTCGGCCCTACTTCACTCCTCCCTGCCTGGAACACACCCGGCTCTGCCTTGGGGTTTGTGCCTGACTGACCTGGAAGGAAGATAGCAGATGCTTTCTCCTGGCCAGAGACAGGGTTCTGGATAGAGCAGGTCACATTGCCCAGAGAGCTGTCCTTGACCACAAGAGATGCCTCCACATGGAACAGCCCATCTCCATCTTGACTCTGAGATTCAGAGAGGGATAGTAGTTTCTCTCCTGCCGTGTCGCTCCACTGCACCCTGGGTTTAGGGAACCAGCCACCTGAGGAGCACAGAACTTGGATCCCGTTATCCTCAGGCCCCATCATGCGAACGTGAGGGGCAGAGCCCAAGCCTGAGGAGAAAAGACATGTCCCTGAGGCCTGTAGTCCTTGGTGCTCAGGAGTCCCTGAGGCTGAAGGTCTAATTGCCCTTCACTAGGCTGATAAGTAGGAAAAGGCAATGGCACCCCACTCCAGTACTCTTGCCTGGAAAATCCCATGGACGGAGGAGCCTGGTAGGCTGCAGTCCATGGGGTCCCTAAGAGTCGGACACGACTGAGCGACTTCACTTTCACTTTTCACTTTCATGCATTGGAGAAGGAAATGGCAACCCACTCCAGTGTTCTTGCCTGGAGAATCCCAGGGACAGAGGAGCCTAGTGGGCTGCCGTCTGTGGGGTCGCACAGAGTCGGACACAACTGAAGTGACTTAGCAGCAGCAGCAGGCTGATAAGTAAACTGAAACTCAGAGTTCAAAACTGCTCACAGTCAGCATAAGGCTTACCTCTGATTCTGAAGTCAATATGAAGTTGATTCTGAAATCAACTTAATGCTTTTGCACTGTACTAGGACTGAGAGAGCTTTGGGATCATTCCAAGAAGAAAAAAGCACAGTGACAATCAAAGAAAAAGTGAGTTTAATCCTACAAGTTGTCTTTCTCTTCTGACTGGGTAAAAAAAATTATTTGAAGGTGCCAGTATCTATCTGAATTAATACAAGTTAATAAATTTTTGAGATCTTTTTGGATACCAAAATATCTACAGAAAGATTGCCTCCTTTGCTGTTTAAAAGCCAAGCATGTGGTTTTGTCCTCATTGTACAGTTTAGAAAGCTGACATTCTGCAAGGTGACATGTAGAAGATCCTGAGAAACACCAGGCTAGGGATCCATACATTCTCAACTTTCCCTTTGCTTTATACCATGATACATGCACTTTGTGCTAAGTTAACATACCTATCACGTGCAGCTCCACAACGGCTTCCTGGGAGATGTGACCATCATTAAAATGACACCAATACTGGCCATTATCAGACGCACGGACATGTTGGATCAGCAGGGCCACAGCCCCTCTGCCGATGGAGTCCTCCACCAACTCTGTCCTACCACGGTACTCCAGCATTTGCTCCCCGTCTTGTTCCTGCCCATTCTGGTACAGGAGCACTGCTGGGGAGAGCTGGGCTCGGTACCACCGGATCTGCATATGGGCTGCACTCTGCTCGGGGGACAACTGGCAGGGCAGAGTGGCATCTGTCCCTAGTGGGACCTTGATGGGCTGAGCTGGTCCCATCACAGAAAACCCGGACGCTGCGTGAAAATCAGAAACAGATTGGGGGAAGTGGTAGGGGAGAAGATGAGATGGTAGACCCACCTGCATTTTTTAATGTGAGACCCAAATGTATTTTTCTATTTGTGTTATTTTTTGATCTCCAATTAAAGAGACAGTATCAGAAAATGTCATTATTGAGACCTCATGGCTGGTTATCATCAAACCTGGAGTCTGAAAATTTCATCTTGAGGGGCCCCTTTTACTTTATGAAAGACAGATGCATGTCCCAGAATGAATAAACGTCTTGTCCCAGATGATAACCAGCTCAGGGATCCTGAGTCCAAATTCTTTGTTTTCAAATTTGGATTTTCTTGGCAGTATAAACATTACAAAGTATGTTTTAAGAAAGAGTTACATCAAATTTAAACAGATCACTAAGATCACTCACACTCAATAAAAATTTAGATAAATATTATAGTTGTGGTTTTTATGAGGTCTGCTCAAAGGATGTTGATGTAAAGGAGATCACTCCCACCCTTCACCTGACTCATCAAGCCTTCTGTTGCCAGCAGACAGAGCTATAATTTTTCCCAGGTATAACTGCCTTTGAGAGGGTGCAGCGTTGGAACTGGTGGACCTACTGTTTAAAAAGAGCCACTGAAAACAAACCAACAAATGAAAGGTAAGAGAGAAAACACTGACCTGGGGAGCCCCACATGGACACCCAGAGAAGGAGAGCGGGTGGAACACTAGCAGGAAAGAGGCCAGGAAAACCTGCCATCTTCTTCAGAGCAGAACATGGAGCACGCTGGAAGCACAAAACATTCACTCTGAGGATGTTGAGAAGGTGGTAAGAAGCCAATCAAGTGAAAGTTCTCAGAAAAAAGAAAAAAAATCCCATGTGCAAAAACTTAATCTTATACACAGGATTTTGGCTGTTTTCACTTACAGACCTTGAGACAAACACCACCAACTCCCAACCGTTCCCATATGGGTTTTTTTTTTCCTTCCCTCTTTTGTTTTTCTCAAAACCGTTTCCCCAGCAGGTGTAGGAAACGGTAAACCGTTCTCTTGTGTCCTGTGGGCTAGCTTGCCTATCTATGGATTCACCACCTCGCCAGGGCTCTCTTGAAATTGAAAACCTTGAGTTCAGTGGTGAGAAATGACGTCAGACACAAAATTCATCCACTTTCCTCAGTCAAACTATTTCTCCCCTCCATTCACTCGTTCATTCATTCATTCATATATTAATTTATTTTGCCCACAAATACTCTTGTGGCTTAATTCCTGAAAGGGAAGGGAGTTTTCTCCCCACATGAGCCCAGAGCTCAAGCCCTTTTTTTTTTCAGGACCCACATGTCCCACAGACACACCTGCGCGTCCCCACATGTGTTTTTCTCACCATCCAGGTTGAGCCAAGGGGGGTTTCTGGACAAAGCTCCTGGTCTCCTTAGCGCACCTACACGATCTGGCTCCAGACACAATTTGCACCTGGTTGTCCTCGTGGTCAACATCCAAGGGTGTGGCTGCAGGTGATGAAAATGGCAGGTTTCTAATCTCAATTTCTAATTTCCTCAATTAGGAAAATATTCTCAGTAAGGAGGACAAATAAGGCTGCCAAGAAGAATGGGCATTTGAATGCCTCTTCAGAAATGGGTTTAATGAGAAAGTCTCAGCCTGCCTGCAGCACTGCTACTAACTTTGAAAGTGGAAGTAATAGTTCATCCCAGAGGACTTTGAACCAGACTGAGCTATAGCATGATAGAAACTCTAAAGTTGATTTGGTCAACAGTGTTCAGTATGGCTCCCTGCTCGCACCTGCAAAGGACAGAAATCGCATTAGCTGGGGAGACAGAATCATCTTCCTGTATAATATCCAAGTCAGTTGGTCATCCAAATGCTTGATTCACAAAGTCAGATGATTTAGAGGATAAGCCCTATAGCAGCACACTTTCTCCTACTGCACCATAGCTGACACTGGAAGCCATGTGCAGAGCTGCATGGGGGACAATAAGACATCAGGAATGGAGGACTCTGTGTTCTGAGAATATTGGGGCTCTGTTTCCAAAGAACTTTAGGGTCCCCCAACATAGAATAGATGTAAAAACACAGTGATAGAGTGCCAGATACAAAATGCTCACACAGAGTTTTCTTCCCATTTCACACTCTTTCCAAGTTGAATTCATGTTTTTTTCATGTCACACAAGGTTTACAGATAATCAGAGACAAAAGAAGCAATTGCATAAATATTAATATGTAAGTCTGGACAAATGAATACTGAAATCCTAAGTAAATATTCTCTGCAGATAGTGAGGTACATTTGACATTTTTAAGAAATCAAATGTACTGAGATATAATTTGCATACAATAGAATTCATCACTTTAGAACATGCATTTCAGTGAGGTTGCACAAATGCTTACGCTCATGTAACTACCACTTCATTGAACTATGGAACATTTTTGTCTCTTGAAATTTTCCTCACGTCCATTGTCCATCAGTCCTTTCCAAGGAGGGGGCGAAAAACAGTATTCTGATATAAATCATGATAGCTTAATCTTGCCTACTCTTAAACTTCACCAAAGTGGAGTCACATAGTATACACACTTTTGTGCTTGGTGTCTTTGGCTAAACAAAATGCTTTTTTGAGGTTCGACCGCATTGTGTGTATCAGTGCATTTAAAAGTTTTCCTTGCCACATAATATTACACTGTTTGAATATAGGACCATATATTCTGCGATTTTCTTTGGGGTTATCTCCCTTCCTCATACAAGCCTCATCTCCTTCAATCAAATTCTTTCACACCACTCTGGGCCGCGCTCCTCCATAAAACTATCCTGTCTTATTTTGGGGTCTGACACCTACCTTATTGTTTAGGTCTGAAACACTAAAGAATGGGAAGGGAAAACTGAAGGAGAAAAGGAACTATCTAAAAACATTATTTGCCTCTTTTGTTTACTTTGAGATGTATGATACGTCTTTGTGTATATGCTGCTGCTGCTAAGTCGCTTCAGTCATGTCCGACTCTCTGAAACCCCATAGATGGCAGCCCACCCAGCTCCGCCGTCCCTGGGATTCTCCAGGCAAGAACACTGGAGTGGATTGCCATTTCCTTCTCCAATGCAGGAAAGTGAAAAGTGAAAGTGAAGTCACTGAGTGGTGTCCAACTCGTATTGTCCGACACTGCTGAAGATCAAAATATTGGGTTAGAAAAAAGCAGTTACTATGTGGTACTTTAAATCAAAAAGATTTTAAAAATTAGGAAATATAGGTTGAGCAAATCCACCCAGAACTTCAACATTCACCTAGAATGTTTCCCAAAATGAAAAGATTAGGGGCAAGAATCAGAAGGAAGGGTACTTCACAAAAAGCTGACTACTGCAGAAGAGTCATTTATACATGAATTCTTGTAACATTTTAGAGTCACAAACAACTGAACAAAACACAAAACCTCAAAGTTCCAGGGTGCAGAAAAATTTGTTATGTACAAAAGAAAAAAAATCAGATTCTATCATACATACATGTCATTCAATAGTAATTACTAGAAAACAATTGAATGGAGTCTTCATTTTTGTCAACAGAATTTCAATTAGCAATCAAGTGAAGAAAACAAAGGGAGAATTTCATTCTAGTCAACTGAGGATTATAATTCAGGAGACAGATTCAGAAGCTCGGAGAACTCTCCCACCTGTTAGAAGTTGAAGGTACAACTGTACACATTTCTAAGACAAAAGATTGTCATCAAACTGACATACTGACATCTTACATGAAAAGTTCACCAGAGATAGTCCAGGTAACCATATGCAAAGCAAGTGGCAAGTCTCTATGATTCCTTACAGAGTCAGGAAAGAATGCTGTTCTTTTAAGAAGATACATTGCTAGTATTAGAAGAAAGAAAAAAAACAATTATCTTTATAGTCAAGCCAGCATTCTCGCCTTTGAGGAGGTCTGGTTAATGTACAATACAGAAGTACATTACATATTACAGGGGGATGAAAGAGACCCAAACCGACAGACAGAGAGACAGAGAGAATTTTGTGCTTAAATTTCCTTGTCCAGCTTTAAAATATAAATTTTGTTTCATCACTTTCCTGAGTAGAAACTAGAATTTTCTAAGCAACAAAACTAGCATTAAGGGCAAAAGAAAATTCTGGACAAGCAAGGAATCAGAAACTTTTTTTTTTCTCATAAAACTTCTCTTATATGAAAAGTGAAGGTTGCAGGTTGAAGACAAGGGCTTGGAGCAGGGAAAAGGTACAAATACTTCTGGGCTACATCCCATAGTTGTTTACTCCCACTCTTTGTTATGTGACCGGGAGTAAAGTGAAAGTTAGGTGATTTAGTAGATGTGTTCTGGCAGTATGGGCTTCCTAGGTGGCTCAGTGGTAAAGTAGCCTCCTGCCGTTGCAGGAGACTCAGGACACTTGGATTTGACCCCTGGGTGGGGAAAGTCCCCTGGAGGAGGAATGGCAACCCAATGGCAACCCTGATATTCTTGCCTGGGAAATCCCACGGACAGAAGAGCTTGGGGGCTACTGTCCATGGGGGTCACAAAAGTTAAACACGACTTCAAGGCTGAGCACGCATGCATGTCCTGGCATTAGTCACCTAGATACGGAGGAATCATGGGCTGACTTAATCTCCTTTTTCTGATACCTTCTTCCAATAGAGTATTTGCCTCCATGGTGACTGCATGATTTTCCTGCAGTGGTGACTTCATAAATTTTAATCGTGTTCCAAAAGTATGATAGCATTATTCATACTCATGTCAAACCCCTGCCTATTTAGAAAATGCAAATCCAAATCTCTAGTGAGATTAGATACTTAACCAAGTTTCAAAGAGAATACTTGAAAGAAGCAGATATTCTGGTATTAACTTTATAGGCAGATCTGGGGGAGGCTTGGCACTCTAAGCACACTGGAGGAAGGAGTTAGGTAAGTGTCATACTGGGTCGTTCTACTAGTCCATATTGTAAGTGGATTTCTATTAATCAAAAACTGAGAGAAATTGTTAAATCTCACCAAGTCATAAAGTAAAAGATTTGATGTGGCATAGTTGTTATATTATTTAAAACCTCTCTAGCTTCATTTATATGTTCTGGAAATGTTCTGTTCATTTCTGATTAATTATGGTTATAAACTTTTTTGAGTTCCAAACTGATTTTGCATTTTTTAATTCTGCTGTAGGCTGTTAGCACCATGCGGTCCTTGGAAGTTATGTGCTCATGATGAATGCCAATATTTGAAGGGATCATCTCGTTTCTTTGAATGATTTCTCTCTGAACTTTATTCTTATTTAAAAATTAACACTACCATATTTAAAACTTTGTTAGACTATGTCTGGTTTGTGAAACGGAAAGTGAAATTTGCTCAGTTGTGTCCGACTCTTGGCAGAACTATGGACTGCAGAGTCCATGGAATTCTCCAGGCCAGAATACTAGAGTGGGTAACCTTTCCCTTCCTCAGGGGATCTTCCCAACCTAGGGATCAAACCCAGGTCCCCCGAACTGCAGGCAGATTTTTTATCAGCTGAGCTATCAGGGAAGCCCCATGTCTGGTTTATACTTGTTTATATCTTGTTACTATGTCTCTTACAATCCATACAGAGATGTTCAGTCTTAGATCCAGAATAACAAAAATGTAAATTAGAATTTTTAAAATTTTTTCAGACTCTAACTCAGAATGTCTGTCATTCTAGGCAAGAAAGGCAATTATTCTAGAACTTGTAGGATTTGAAGGATCTTCAAAACACAAATCAGTTATGCAGCCACACAGCAGAATGTAAAAGTTACTGACACTTTTCTAAGTGCTTTATGTATACTAATTCATGTAATCCTCATGACAGCTTAGGGTAGGTACTATTATTAAACCCATTTTCAGATGAGAAAACTGAGGCACACAGAGAGCTTATGTAACTTGATCAAAACCATGAGCTTGTAAGTGACCTTACCAAGATTTTAACTCAGCCAGTCAAGTTCTAATATTTATATTTTATTAGCCTGGATAAACGACTGAAGCAACTTAGCAGCAGCAGCCTGGATAAATACACTCTCAGAGAAAAAGAAGTCTCTGGATTTTGATCCTTTCCTTGGAAGTGCGCAATTATTAGATGGATTTATTATTCATGCCAGGTCAAAGTTCTCTTTTCTTATCTTATTTGGCTTTCAATTTTGAATACGTTGGCAAGCTAGAGGAGAATTGCACTCTGAGAGTTTCCCGAGCAGGGGCCATCTTTCTTCTAGTTTTCTGAAACCCTTTAAAAAAAAACCTAAATCTTCCTTCAGGACTCCAAGATTTCTAACATCTGGTCTTCCCTTGGCATCTTAGAGCAAGTATCACGGGAGACATCTGTAGGCAGCCCGCAGAGGGGAACCTGGAGGAACGACAAAGAGTATGTATTCCTGGTGCGTGGCAGTGTCAGTGAGAACTTCCAGGATGCCTTCATCCCCCTAAGAAGAACTTAGAAGATGTGAACAGTCTGTGTGAGTGGTACTTTTTCTTGATGATGGACAAGAGGGAGGGAAGTGAGAGAATCTGGTCAAAGACTCTGGGGGTAGACAGAGGACAAGCCAAGTTGTATCTGCTCCTTCCTCATATACGAATGTATGGTGAGAAAATCTGTTGAGGCCAGAGCAAGGTTTATGCCCAAGCCATCTCTCTCAGTGGCTGCTCACTGCCTTTTCTCTGCCTTTCCATCCCTTGGATAAAGTGTTCTTCTTCAGAGGGGTTTAGAGAGACTGTGGTCAGATTTATCACATCAGAGCATGGCTGTTGAAATCAAGACTGTTTTCTGGGAAAAGGGGAAACAAAAGGCCCTCTTTTGTGAACGTCAAAGGCTTCCCTGATGGTCCCTGAGAAAGACACTAGGGTTTCAGGAGACCATTTCTTAGAAGTCCTGTGAACCATGTAGCTATAATCTTTTTTACCTTGTGGGTCCCATTTTTATCTTTACTCCAGCTATTTTCAGGACCCCCTCAGTGTCATACTGTTCTCTACTCTGGAGAAGATGGTGTGTTCCCCAGACTTCTCTCTGCTAAGAGACCTCTTTCTGATCCTGCTTTTCCAGATGTCCATGTGGGGCTCAGGTGAGAATATTTTATATTTTCTATACCTGGATTCTCTTACCCTCTGAGTAGAATCATTAAACCACTCTGCCGTGTCTCCTATAGACCTAAGTTAATTGCAAATCTTTTACTTTGATACAATATTGCATTTGCCTATACACAGGGCAGATAAATCACTATTATTTTAGAGGTAAGGACCAGGTAGAATTTCTTTTCTGTTGTCTTCTAATTCATTTGGATCTCAATTTCTGGAGGAATGCATTGCTGATGCCCAAGATCTGCCCAAAATCTGCTTCATGATTTTCCAGCACTCCTTCATCTTCCTCCAATGAATTTACTACTATTGCAATTTAAAAATCATCTGTTTAACATGAAATCACTGTGCTGACTGTGAGCTACCTTGTCTTGTTCACTGCCATCTTCAGCCTGAATATGTGTGACAAATTACTGCTGTGTTAATGAGAGAGAGAATGCCCATGGGTCTCTGGGACCTGTGATAATGCTATATTCTAAAAGGCACAGGCAGGGTATTGCAATATTCTTTTCACTTGTGACTCCATTCCACAGACTCCTTTTCAGTGACTGGCCCCTCAGAACCCATCGTGGCCATGCTGGGTGCAGACACGGTGCTGCCCTGCCGTGTATACCCAGCCATGAATGTGGAGAGTATGGAGATCCGGTGGTTTCGCAACCAGTTCTCAGAGGCTGTGTTTGTGTATCAGAATGGAATGGAGCAGGTGGGAGAACAACTAGTAGATTTCAAAGGGAGAGCCGAGTTGGTGAAAGACTACATCACTGAGGGAAGAGTAGCTGTGAGAATCCACAGCCTCCGGGTCTCAGACAATGGAATGTACAAGTGCTTTTTTAAAAAAGGAACTGATTTCGAAGAAGCCGTTTTGGAGCTAAAGGTGATAGGTGAGTAATTATCGGAAAATACAGATCACTGTAAGGGAAATGTAAGTGTTCTACATTTGATTTGGGGAGGAGGATGGTGAACAAGAGGCAACAAGTAAGTATCCTTGGAGGTGTTAACATCCTAGGCACTGAATTTAACCTCAAATCCTCTATTTATCCTATTTATGCATTTATTTTGATGTACTTTAAAAACAAATTATTTCCATAAATATCTATCATAAAAATAGATCATTTATTTCCCTCTATGTCTCTCCTCACATATTTTGAGGTAAAGCATCATAATTAGCAAAATGTACCATTACGCCCAGAGATGAGAATCCCAGTTCGCTACCGTGAGGGACAGAGGCTTAACTGGAAGTGTTAGTGGTCCAGTCCCGAATGTACTGTTTGGAGGAAATGAGGGTTTGACAGAGTGGATTGAGATGCTGCTTAGTTGTGCTTGTTTTTTAATTTCATATACATGGACTCTTTTATGTCTGTTTTGTTGTGGTTCTTTTGGTTTTTGTTCACCATTATGTTTGAGATTTTCCTATGTAGTTCATTGAATGTAGTTGTAGTAGTTCATTTCTATCTCTTTTTTGTTTGTTTTGCTTTTTACATTTAGATCTCACATATGTAGAAACATATTTTTGGTATAAAATTTCATGATAGGTTCAAAATACTTTTTTGTAATGTATCTATTCACTTATCTCCATACCAATTGCTCTGTACAGTACATTGCATCCCATAAACTTCCTACAGATAACTAGCATAAGTCTAAATTTTCTATCTGGTTATAATGATTTATCTGTCTATTTCTTTGGTATTTCCATTTCTAAAGCTTTATACTCTCTGCCAAGACAAACATATTGTTTTTCTAGTTGTAAAGTTTTTCTCATTCTTTGAATATGTTAGGTTTACCTTAAATTAATACTCTCATTTAATACTATTTGTCAAAATTCTATACACTCATTTTGTCTTCTTCTTTGTGTATAACTTTAGTGGAAAAGTCTAATCCACTAGGTCTTGAAGGAAAGAGTGGCAAACTCTCCTGAGCCATGTTACTGTGATCTCACTTTAATATCCTCCCAGGAAGAGGACAAAGCTTTCAGAGTTACAGAAATAACCTCATATAAGTGACAGCATTTTTCAGTACCTTTGCTATGTTAGTTCCTTGACTTCTGGGTATGAAGACAAGTCCAATCTTTTAGAAGAAGTTTGTTGAATAGGAATGAGCCAGACATGGTGGAGCCATATTTTGTGATATCAAGTTTTATAAAGACAAATAATATATAGTCTTAGAAGTCAGAGCAGTTATCATTCTCAAAGACATGGTGGATTCATGTAGTATTCTGGTAGTGTTATATTTTAACACGGGTCTTAGTTATGTGAATCTACTAGTAGACCCAGCCCGTGCAAAACTGAAGAAGAGGAGGAGGAGTGGAAGGAAAAGAAAGGAGTGAGAATGGAAAAGTTAAAATGTCTTGACTCTTTCATGGACTCACTTTACCATGTTACACATTCATCTTTTAGGTAAGCTTTACTCAGAGGAAGAAAGAAAATTTGGAAAAGGAAATTATTTAAGGAAGTGACTATGAAAAATCTCAACTTAAGCAGCAGATGAAATAGACATGTGATATAGATACAGTAATTTTTTTCTGAAAGAATTTAACATCGACAGATTTTACTCTGTTCCTTCTCTATTATCCTTCTATGGCCAATTGCAGATATGCTTGTGTAGAGGAGATATGACAGACATTGGTATAAGTCCCAGAATCAGCTTCAGTGCTCTTTTACCTTTTGAACTTCAGATAACCATTGATCTCATGGGGAAAGAAAAGAACCCCCTTCCATCCCCTGAGAACTATGGTGCTTTGTCCATCTTTCTCCACTGGTGTAGCTGTGAAATATGAGGAACTTCTGGACAAAAACTCTCCAAGTCTCAGATGAATGACTTTCCTCTCCAGGTCTAGGTTCTGATCCTCGTGTTTTCTTGGTGGGTCCAGAAGATGGAGGAATAAGGTTGAAGTGCACAGGCAAGGGATGGTTTCCCCAGCCTGAAGTACAATGGGAAGATGCGAAGGGAGAGAAGATCCCATCTGTCTCTGAGGACGAGATACAAGATGATGATGGCTTGTTTCAGATTGAGGCATCCCTCATTGTGAGAGACAGCTCAAAGACACAAGTGTCCTGTTCCATGAAGAACCCCTTCTTTGGACAAGAGCAAGTGGAAACCATTTTTATCCCAGGTCAGTGCTGCTCATTTGGGATGTAGGAGAGGAGTAAGGAAGGGATACGGCCTTCCCTGATGGCTCAGTGGGTAAAAAATCACCTGCAAATCAGGAGGCACAGGAGATGTGGGTTTGATCCCTGGATCAGGAAGATTCCCTGGAGGGAGGAAATGGCCACCCACTCTAGTATTCTTACCTGAGAAATCCCATGGACAGAGGAGCCTGCGGGCTCCATACCATAGGGTTGCAAAGAGTCAGAAATGACTGAGTGCCTAAACACACTCACACACGCAAGGAAGGAATGTTTAGCACATGGGATGGGATAGGCTTGCTTGGCATATGTTTTTAATCAGGTTTTGGGGGTCCTGTGCCAGAATCCTTCTTCCCTAGGCCCTCTCCTTGGAAGGCAGCATTTGCTGTGACTTTGGTGATACTTGGGATTTCGGTTGGTGCTATTGTGTATTTGACCTTGAAGGAACGACAGGGAAAGAAGAAACTATCAAAAGTCAAGGGAGAAAAGGAGGAAGAAAGTAAAGCTAAAGGTAAAACTGGGCATCAGACTTGGTGGGGATATGTGACTTTATGGATTTGTTAACATGGCTGCGCATGTGGATGGCATTTTTGGGGAATGCAGAGATATGTGTAAGAATGAGTTAGAGCCCCAAGACCTCCAACAAAACATAGAGCTCAACAACTTCCTGAGGAAAAAAATATTATAATTGAGTCCACTGGAGAGGGAAAAATCACTGGTATAGGCATAGAGCTTATTTTTTTAATGGTCATAATAATAATTCTCAAAGGATTTTTTTTGTTCTAGATATATGGAAGTAGCATTTAGAATCTGGGCTAAGTAACATAGTCTAGAAAATATTTTCTGTTAAACCCATTTTTTTTTTCCTTTTTAGAATCACTTAAGAGAGAGCTTGGTAAGTTTTCCACTTTCATTGCTCTAAAATAGGAGATAGAGTCCTTACTGTATGCTGTATGTCTGGCATCTCACAGACTATTATTCCTTTTCAGCCAAAAGGAAAGAATTATATCAGCAAGGTGAGTTATACTGCTGTTATAGTTGGGGAAACCCTTTCATCGGCCCTTTTCTCCTGGTTGTATTCTATTTACCTTGTTAGTGAGAGAGGGACCGACTACCCTAAACAGTATAAAATGGTCGAACACGTGATATCCAACACTGGACAAATAACAGCAGCTTTTTAAACACATATATCCTCACATATATATTCACATCCTGGGATAGAAAAACACTGCGTGCCATGCCAGAGCACGTGGAGGTTGCACTTGAGAGCAGAATGAATAGAGCAAGGTCTGTGGGAGGCAGGTTTTGTAGTAACAAGAGAATGAGGTGACCCTGTTTCTGTGGAAGTATGTAATTGGCTTGTTTGATTAATTGTGCAGGCTGACAGAGAGGTAAAATTCATTAGGTTGAAGATCAGGTGAGGTTCAGCTGTTTTAGCCCACAGGGAAATTAGCTGAGAGGGGAGACTTTCCTGATGACTAGAGGACCTATCTAGTGAGAGCAGGTTGTCCTTTGTTGTTTAGTCGCTGAGTTGTGTCTGACTCTTTGTGATCCCACGGACTGTAGCCAACCAGGCTCCTCTGTCCACGGGATTTCCCAGGCAAGAATGCTGGAGTTGGTTGCCATTTCCTTCTCCAGAGGATCTTTCTGATTCAGGGGTCGAATCTGGGTCTCCTGCATTGCAGGCAGATTCTTCACCATCTGAGCTGAAGCAGGAGAACCCCCAGTTAGGCATTTGGAACCCTGTGAAGCTCAAGGGTATCAAGGCAGCACACAAAATTTTAGGCTTTCCAATATATTCTCAAAACTTAAGCCTACCTTTTCTTTCTCCCCAACCAAAAAAAAAAAAGAACCTGCTTATTTTATCATAGATGTAGAATGTGAAAAATGTGAGAAATAAAACTGGATATGTAAAAGAAGATAAGTACATCAGAATTGTCATTGAGATCATAAACACAAATATACTGTACTATGGTAAATCCTCAGATTTTCATGTTCTGAAGTGATGTTCCTGTAAATGGGAGAAGTTAATGTCTTTGTTTTATTTCAGACTGGAGAAAAGCTGAGTTATATGCTGGTGAGTAACTGATATTGTCTTGGGGCTTCAGGTACTTCGGGATTTCGTGAGGCATTTTCAGAGCATTTTTCAGATAGGAGCTATCCTCGGGAGATTTTACTTTGAATCTAGGAGTCCAAAAAAACACAAGGGGATAAAAGGAGAAACTTCTCACTAGTTCAGAGGACATGTACTTAGCATATTCTTCCATCTGATTTTTTTTTCCTTTTTAGACTGGAGGAAGGAACAGTTCAAAGCAGGTGAGTTACCTTACTATTATTTGTCTCTTTTAATCTCTTCTATACAATTGAGAAACTTTGTATAAACTCCCAACAATACTTAATTGGTTATTCACTTCATGGCTTTCACTTCAATCTAACGCAGAAATGTTACCAGATTTCTTACCATTCTGACATCATTCATTCATTCAGCATTAAATTATACAACTATTTACTTAGTGCCAAGTAAATAAAGTGGATTTGGTCTCTGACTTTATGGGAAAGTGCATGTACAAACTGTGATGCCTTATGAAGGAATAAGAGATTGCCATGAAGAAAAAAATGGTGGATTAAAGGAATTCCCTTGAGGAATTTATATTTAGTCTGAGACTTAACTGCTACTGTAGATCTATTCATGCGAAAGAGAGTAGTTCAGTCAGAAGGATGTCGGCTGTGTACTCAGTCTGAGATAGAGAAGGGCTTGTTGCATCTCAGTACAAGTAGAAAATGGGCCCTGACCATCTTACAGTCTTCCCCAAGTCACAACTCTCTATTTCCACTTCTTGCTATTCACTCTGAATATCCCTGTATCCACAAACATGGCCTAGTTAATTTAATCCTCCAAAAATTAAAATATATTGTAATCATTCACATACACATTCTTACGAGAAAAATTTTAGTTATTGAAGATGTTTGGTTTGACCAGAAGCAGGTTCATTACTACTAGTGTTAACACTATTGCTACTATTACTACAGGTATTAGTGTTACTATAACCATCAGAAGCTAAAATTTACCAAGTGTTCATCATGGACAAAATATAGTACTAAGTTCTCTGCATATTATCTCATTGTCTTCTCACAGTAGTTCTATGCTGAGGCATCATAATTATGTATACCTTCATGAGATTAAAGTGGGGCCAAGAGAAGCAAAGTAACTTCAAGACTGCCACTACTAAAAGCAGAGCAATTATCAAATTCATATCTTTCTGACCACAGAGCCTGGGATTTAAACCATTAAAAATATAAAAAGAGTGTAAGATAAGAACTATAGATGGCTTAGTTATTACCTAATCACACAGAGAACTAACCCCAAAGAAACATAAATGAAAGTGAGCACATTGTGATTGGAAATAAGAAACGGTTTAATTATTAAGAGCAAGCAGTAAAGCAATTGGCATTTGCAGGAGGTTGGAGAAGCCTCAACTTGAAATATGTGACCATGGGGATTTTGAGAGACAGAGTTCTTGGTTAAGTGTTCTCAGCCTGTCTGGAACACATGGTTACTTAGGGTCCTATCCATCCCTGGCCTTCTATGACCTACACACCACATGTCTCCTGTGAATGAACATAGGATATAACATAAATTGTTTTACCTAATCTTCCATTTTTCTCTTTTTTTCCTCCATTCTCCTTTCCCTATAATTTGCATCTTTCCTAAAGCCAACCAGTCTCCACTGTGGAATGACCTTTATTTTCCCCTCCATACCTGCAGTGGCTTTCACCCTGAATCCGGAAACAGCTCATCCCAACCTCGTCTTATCTGAGAACAAACAACGCATTTCTTTAAAAAATAATGTTCCCCAGAATGGTGATGCCCCGACACACGAAGACCAAGGGGAGTCTGAAGCCATCTTCAGTGTTCTGGGCGAGAAGTCCCTCACCATGGAGAGGCAATACTGGGAGGTAGAAGTAAATATGAGGAAAGAAGATGGATCTGCAACTCGATGGGCTCTGGGCATTTGCTCAGAGACAGCGAAGAGAGAGGGCTGGTTTGTAGAAAGGCCAGAGAAGCATTTCTGGGTTTTGATATACAAGGAAGGAGAAGTCATTGTTCCCACCTCCCAGAAAATCTCTCTGTCACTGAGGCAGCAGCTCCACAGGATAGGAGTTTTCCTGGACTGGGAAGCTGGGAACCTGTCCTTTTATAACATGGCCGATGGGTCCCACATTTATTCTTTTACTAGCATCGCCTTCTGTGGAAACTTTTTTCCTTATTTTAGTCTTTGGGGTACTGGTACATCTTTGACCATCTGCTCAACTTCAGATCATCCTGAGAATTGTCCTGATTCTTCTCCAAAGACCTCTCTAACTCATTTAAATAGCTGTGAAACAAGCATCCCCCAAGAATCTAACTCTCTATTATAAGAAGTGAGTGTCAGCACCTCACTGCCTCTGCTCAGGCTTCTTACAGGTATGTTGTTGAGGAACGCTGTCCTTCTTGAAGAGCAGGTCATTCTCATTAGGTTTAAATTCAGCCTCTTTCAAAGAGAGATAGAGGGAGAAAGAGAAATGGGCAGCTAAAAATGTCTGGGGGAATTTCCTCTAGCGTTATCTTTGGAGAAGTACTCAATATGGACAACAATGATTTGTCACAAGGGAACTCCAAGTAAACACATGGGCCTTTCTTCAGTTCTGGTATTTATTGTATTTTGAAGTAAAGATGTTTAAAGCTACATTTAAAGTGGAAGTCTCTGTTGTCACTATTTTTGTTATCAAATATGAGGAGGGTTGTTGTTGCTCTTTAGTTGTTAAGTTGCATCCAGCTCTTTTGCAACCACAGGGACTGCAGGCCACCAGACTCCTCTGGAATTTCCCAGGCAAGAATACTGGAGTTGCCATTCCCTTCTCCAGGGGATCTTTCTGACCCAGGGATCAAACTGAACGTCTCCTGCATCTTCTGCATTGGCTGGCAGATTCTTCACCAGTGAGCCACCTGGGAAGCCATGGAGTTGGGAGTGATGTTTAAAGGGAAGGGTACCAGGTGAATACTACTGTTGGAGATGTACAAAGAAATCTCAAGTCTTTTATAGGTTAATGCCTCAGCTTGTCCTTTTTTCAGGCTTTAGTGTCCATCAGCTTCTAAAGCTGGACTTTGCCAAGGTGTGGAGAAGACTGATAAATAGCTACAAAACTATTTCAACAGGAGACCAAGCCTTCTGAGAAGGAGGAGCCCCTCTCCCCTCTTTTAAACAAGTTCTTACTGATCAGCAAGTTCAGAATTGTATGTGAATAAAAAAGAAACCAATATTGCAATTTGTATTTTCAGAGAAAAAAAATTGTCAAAGGAATGAAGAAACAGCCTCAGCCTTCATGAAGAAAAAGTTATTGTTAATACTGGCTTTTTTTTTTCTTTCTGACCCAGTTCTTCCTACTTGTGAGGATTTTCCCTTTGCCTTTAATAAGTCTAAGCCTTCTCCAGCCATTTATTACAAAGTTTACTTCTCTAAGAATATAAAATACTAGCTTCTCCTATCAAATGAACCTTCTCTTTCTGACAGTAGAAGAGATCAACTTAGACCCCTTAAATTTTTCTGCCCTTAGAGCAGATCTTTAAGTGGCAAGTCCCTCGAACAGTCCCTCTTGGAAGGCACACCTCCATAGCAAAACTTCCCTAACACACAGCCGCTAAGTGGCAGTCAGTATTTGAATCTAAGAAGAATAAATCCAGAGCCCAGAATATTAACTTTACTTACAAAAAAAGAAGGGCTTAAATAACAAGCAAGACAGAGGCAAAGGAAAGGTGGGGGATATATTAATAGGCATAATCAAATGGACGTGGTGGATGAAGATATGTGGGGGTAGCAGCAGAATGAGTACAATAATACTGAAAGTGTGGCATGGAACAGGAAGGACAATGGGTTCAGTTGGGATATTTTACTGTTGTCATATATATATATATATATATATATATATATATATACACACACACACATATACACACACACACACACACGTGTGTGTGTGTGTGTGTGCATGCACGCTAAGTCACTTCAGTCGTGTCTGACTCTGCGACCCTATGGACTATAGCCCGCCAGGCTCCTGTGTCCATGGGATTCTCCAGCAAGAATACTGGAGTGGGTTGCCATACCCTCCTCCAGGGGATCTTCCCCTCCCAGAAATTGAACCCTCATCCTCTGCGGCTCCTACTTTGCAAGCAGATTCATTTACCTCTGAGCTACCGGGAAAGCCTGTGTGTGTGTGTGTGTGTGTGTGTGTGTGTGTGTTCATGTATGTATGTATGTATATATCACGCATAAACAAATCCTAGACTTTAATTGAAAGTATTGTATAAATTTTGGTTCATGCATTGTAATATATGCACCACACCAATGCAAATTGTTAATAATAGAGGATACTAAAGGGTGAGAGGGGAGGGATATGGGAATACTCTGGATTTTCCACTCAATTTTGCTGTAAACCTGGGGAAAACAACTCTTAAAAAATAAAATCTTTTAGTGAAAAAAAAGGAGGAATGAAGTACTGGAATATTTGACAACATGGATTAACTTTGAAAACATTACACTAAATTAAAAAAAATACAGACACACAAAAAGTCTATGCACAGTATTTTATGATTCTGTTTATGTGAAATACCCAGTATAGGCAAATTTATAGAAACAAGGTAGACAGAGGCTGGAGGGAGGTGGAAATGGGTATGACTGCTTAATGGTGATGGAGTTTCCTTTTGGATCAAAATATTCTGGAACTGAATACTAATGATGGTTGCACATATTGTGAATGGAAAAAATACCGATGTCTTGGACACTTTATTCTTTTCCTTAAACAAAACTTTAATGGATAGGAAAATTAAATACAATTTGATTCCATTCTTTCTAATTTTAATTGAATTCAGATTTGAGACATCATTTCAGCAATTACATATCTTTCTTATGTTAGTAATAGCATCTTTCCCATCTTAGTAATAGCATCTTTCCCATTTTGCATTCTGCCATTGCTATTTCACTCTTCAAGAGACTGTAAAATCAGAGTCTGAATAAAGCCCTGAAACTATTTATGGTTTTTGGTTCTCTTTTAGTTTAAACAACAACAAGAATTAGACACTCTAAAATGATTAAAATGATGAATTTTATGTGTATTTTATGACAGTTGGAAAAGTTTAAAAACTAAATAAATGTGAAAATATTTGTGAAAGAATAATATTACATACTATAATATTTCAGTACATAACTTCAAACATAAATGAGTTTAAATATAGAAGAAAAAATAACATGATCCAAAAGAGAAAATTCCAGAATGCCACAGATGAATAGTCTTCAAAGGGCAGTGAAAACCGTGCCATCTGCCTTCTTAGAAAGCGGCAGTCTGTCGTTTACAGGTGTCCTTCATTCTCACTTCAGAAGATTTTAAGACTTTTTCCAAATCTTTACTTTTTCACATTCTACTTCTCCTATGTGTGGCTTCTCTTCTTTAATTCACTGTGATTTAAAATATTTTTTATTTCCATTGAATTTTATTGCTTGTGTTGTACATATTGCTTGTTTCTTTTATAAGTATTCATTTTAAATTGTGTGCTTTTGCACTGTAAAACTAAAATTGACATTTTCATATACATGACATGTAACACATTTTCCTCTTGGTCTAGTATTTCTGAAAAATTTTCTCATTCCACACTCTCAATTAACTTCCTGAAAAAATGTGATGCAGAAATTACACACTTTATGGGATTTTTAAGGTTATATCTTAGTGATCAGATTTTTCTCCTTACATTTATCTGTATTTTCTCTTCCTTATTTTAACTGTATCTTTTTGTTTTCTCAGTCCCATTGGGATAATTGTTACCTTTCTAGGGACGCAAATCAAATATTTGATTGTTCCTTGCACTTCCTCCTCTAGGCTAAGTTGCATTTTCCATTGGATTTTCTAAAGGTCTTTTGTTATCAGATATCAGATTGTGATCAGCAGGCAGGATATTAGAGAGCTTGGGCTATGACAGCTCACAGAAAGGATAAGTCTCCAGGTCAGACATGACACCAGAGTAAGGTTGAATCCTCTTGATTAGGTAAGTGAGTGAGTGTGTGAGTCCCCTTCTAGTAGTTGGTGAAAAGAGAAAAGAACTGGGACTTAGAATATAACCCTGGTTTCCAGAATCCAGGGTAATTGGAGGTGTTGCTGAGACTCCTTTGGGTGCAGGAAAGATGTCAGAAGGATCCACACTAGGAGACCAAAGAAAGCAGGGAGTGCAGAATTTCAGATAAGAAAACTGGGGGAAAGTATAGATAAGGCTTCCCAGGTGGCACAGTACTAAAATTTACAACTGAGCACTCATGCACCATAAATAGGGCACTTGTTCAAGTTATAAAAGGAGAGGCCTCCAGAGGTGTAGTCACGGGAGATTCTAACTTGCCCTAGAGACATCTTCAGGCAGTGGAGGCTTATAGGAGAGGAAATGGCCCAGTCCTCATATCCATAGCAACCCATTGCCCCAACTCATTCTCAGTTAATATAAAGATGACTTCTTCCGGACGCTGTCCTTGGCAACAGTCAAGGCCTATTCTGTCCTATCCCTAACTTCCACCTCTCAGTACCACCCTCCTAAGACGAGCCCCTCCCGTCCTAGCTTGTGAAGGAGGTCGTCAAATTTTTGCGGGACATCTGGCTACGTGACTGTCTGTGGGTTACAAGCTTGTTTCCCTCAGAAAGGATTCATTCTGCGTGAGCTGTTTTTGAACCCAGTGTGTCCTTCACTGCAAAGAAAGAAAATCCAGTCTGATAATAACCAACATAAGAATATTTTAAAATATTAATTTCATAATATTAACATCCAAACAGGGGAAAAAGGCAAGATGACTTAAGAAATTTAAAGTGGAAGAACTTTCTAGGGCTCACAAAATCACCAGTATATGAGAAACCCTTCCTTCAGAGCAAGGAAAACCAATAAGTCAATCACCATATTTCAATGATCTCAGTTCATGCTGACAGAATCCAGTTATGTCTCAGCTTCAGAGCAAGGATATCAATGACACTTTTTTATCTTCCTCTCCCTCCACTAGATCACCTGGGAATGTGCACTGGGAGATTAAATTATTATCTTTCACTCCTTTTGCTTCTATTATTACTGTAAATTGATCTCATTCAACACTGATCCTCAATTACATGCATGTAAGCCATGGACGCTCATGTTTCCTTAATTACTGAATATCCACTGGATGCCTCTGTGCTTCAGTGTCTGCTGAAAATGCTCCCACCACAAAGCCTGCTCCATGCTGTTTCTGTTCTCCTAACTCACCTTTTCTGCTGCTCTTCCTCCAGATCAAGCCTACAACTCCAACAAGAAGAAGAGGCAATCCCCAAATCAGCAGGCTGTTCTGTGAATAATTCATCCCGGACTCTGAAATGTAAGCCCCAGAATCACATTAAATCATAAAACTGGGAGAATTTCAGGATCGTTCTTTTCATCTGAGCAGCTCCTAGGCTGCAGAGGTGGATGGGAATTGGTCCTATCAAAAAGAAAGTTGGTTTCCTGCTTCCTGCTCTGCAGAAGCTGAGGAGAGACTAGAGGTTCATGCTAGCTCTCCCGTTAGCTCCTCTCAGAAACACACACATTTCTCCCCCTCCTCTTTTCCAACTCTATCATCACCACAATCACTGGAATAACAAGAATGGCAAAAAGATAAATTTACTGAATCTGCAGCCATGAAAATGGTGCTATGGAAAATTAATTTCTAATCTGGAAGAAAACCTGTCATGAGGGGCAGGGGGAAGGGAAGTGATGTCAGTGTTTTTGCATTGGAAGAAAAGAGTGTAGATACAGTGATGATAGAGTCAATTCTTGGAATTTAGTAGCTGATGATATAACCATATAACCTTAAGGCTTTAGTGGGGGATTTCAGAGAAGCTCAAAAGAGTAGAATCTCTAGATGTCTTGAAGACCAACTTGCAAGAGATAGCAATAGACTTCATCAGAAAAGAAAAAAAATGGAAAAACAGTAAAATGAGTAAGTCTGGGTTGGTCTTCCTATTTAATTCACAAAGCTGAGAGGAGCACATGCAATCACTAACCTGAAGTAGAAAAGGTTGTCTTTTTCTCCTCTCCTAGAAAGGGGCTGCTGATGGAGCAGGTCACATTCACAACAGAGCTGTCTGTGACCAGTAGAAATGCCTCCACTTGGAATAGCCCCTGACTGCCTTGAGTCAGGTCCTGGGAAAAGGATGGTATTGTGTTTCCTTCCATGTCCCTCCATTGCACATGGGGCTGTGGGAACCAGCCTTCTGAAGTGCACTTTAGAATTACTTCTCCATCCTTTGGTCCCTCCATGGAGATCTGAGGTGAAGAACCCAGACCTGGGAATAAAGATCAAGGAAGGCAACTGAGAGTCTCTGCAAGTGGTTACATAATCAGTGATTTCACTATGAGGGAAGAGAGGGGTTCAGAGACTTGGAGCAGAAGGCGAAGCTTACAAGGGTAAGCGAAGTTTATATGCCACTTAGGAAAGAGACTAGCTGGAGTCTTTGTTTCCTTTTGCTTGCATATTTTTATGTTTTATATTCCTAAAATCATTCTGGGACAGATTAAGGGATGCAATAAATTTAAAATCCAATTTTTATTCTTCTATACCCCAAAAATTAACTCTAATGAGGTCATGAATCAACATGGCCAGAAAAATGGATAAGAGGATATTCTCAAAGAACAAAATCTGATAAATACATGTTTCCAATGGCAGAAAGTGATGAAGTTCAATAAGCTTGTTAACATATGTTCCCATGGATGTTTTCTAAACATATTTATTAATTTGGATACACCACCCATGGGAGAAACAGATTATCTATGAGTTAGGCAATGTCCACAATGGCAATTGCCAACCTTAGAAAAATCAGTTTTTACCCACGAACATAGACAGAGGGAAATCATGATGCAGGGAGTGATCTTGTCCCTCCTCCATCCCTGCCAAAACTATTAACATTTTTTTTTTCTTATATGGTGGATCTGTTGGGTTGGCCTCAAAATTTATTTTTTCTGTTTTTCTGTTAAGACATGATGGAAAAACTCGAATGAACTTTTTGGCCAACCCAACAGTTTACCCTTCAAATTACCATGTTTCCTAATAACTACATCTTTCCCAATATTTTAGTAACACACTGGAATAATGAGTCCTGTGCCATTATGGAGTAAGAATCTCACATTTCACTAGAGGTAAGGCCACTTTACAGAGATCCTGGGAAGGATACAAATTCTACACACAAAGCATTAGGTCTGGTCCTTTGAGTTTGTGGACGTTATGTATCTGCGATAGCTCCTGCACATGGGAGAATTTACTGTACATTTGATGAGTGAAGGGACATTAAGAAAATTTCAGGCGCCAGAGAAATTTTCCAGGATCCAGCAAGTTAAAAGCAGTAGGAACAGACATTGAATTCAGAACATCTGTCTAGAATACTTACCTACAATCTTCAGATCCAAATCTGCCTCCTGGTAGACCCCGTCTTTTTCAAAAAGGCACCGGTACTTCCCATCATCTGAAACCCTGGCATCATTTATCTGCAGGGTCAGCCTCCCCTCACTCATAGCATCACTCAGCAATGCAGTCCTCCCCTGATACTCTGCCATCTGCTCTCCAGTCACATGGGCCCCATCCATATGGACATAAACAGCAGGATGACGGTGGGATCGGACCCACCGCACCTCCATCCTCTGTGCATCAGTCTTTGGAGCCAAGGAGCAGGTTAACTGTATGTCTTCTCCCACTCTGACAAGGATGGGCTGGGAAGGTCCAATCACTTTTAAGGAAGCTGTTAAATACAGCAGAAAAAACACATTGGAAGATTCAAACTGGAGCAAAGAGTGTCATCTGCAAGAACACCTAGAGTAGTGTTCAGGACCCAGGGGCACCTGAGGTTCAGAGTTATCCTTTACAGAGGTAGAGATTTGGTGGAATCAGGATAGACGTTGCCCCTGTGCAGGGCAGAACCATCCCATGGTTCCATCTGAAGATTATCACTAATTAGACCCACACCTGCATCCCTTTCCTATAATCTTATTCAGTTTATAGACCCATAAGAAAATAATTTTGCAATTAAAATCAAATTAACATTTTATCATTTCAAATTTGCATGACCTTAAACTACTTCTTAATCTGTGTATGTCTCAGCTTCTTATACTACAAGACAAATATGTCACTATCAAAATAAAAAGGTTTCCTGGAGTTAAACCTTCCCTGATAGCTCAGTTGGTAAAGAATCCTCCTGCAGTGCAGGAGACCCTGGTTCAATTCCTGGGTTAGGAAGATCCCCTGGAGAAGGAATAGGCTACCCACTCCAGTATTCTCCACATCCCTTGTGGCTCAGCTGGTAAAGAATTCACCTGCAATTTGTGAAACCTGGGTTTGATCCCTGGGTTGGGAAGATCCACTGGAGAAGGGAATGACTACCCACTCCAGTATTCTGACCTAGAGAATTCCATGGACTGTATAGTTCATGAGGTTGCAAAGAGTCAGACATGACTGAGCAACTTTCACTTTCAAACAAAATAATCCATATAAAAAGGATTACAATGATAGCAATGCAGTGTGAGTGAGGCAAGAGATTCAAGACCTGAGGTTATTGGAGCCAATCCCATAATAGACCTTGATAATGGCAACGAAATGAAAATGGGGTGAGTTTTTAGTAATGAAATATGAAGAAACCCCACTAGCTTGGTGGCTCAGATGGTAAAGCATCTGTCTTCAATGCTGGAGACCCATCCCCTGGAGAAGGAAATGGCAACCCACTCCAGTACTCTTGCATGGAAAATCCCATGGAAAGATGACCCTGGTAGGCTACAGTCCATGGGGCCCCAAAGAGCTGAACACGACTGAGCGACCTTACTTACTTATAAGTCAGATCCAGTCATCACATTTCGGTGCCCCAAGGTCCCACATATGTGAGGCTCTAAACACACACTAGTCAGTGCTCTCGGGTGATCTTGAAAAATGATCTTATAATGTTATTCTTGCCTAGAATTTTGCCCAGTATTCTTGCCTGGAAAATCCCATGGACAGAGGAGCCTGGTGGGCCATGGTCCATGGGGCTGCAAAGAGTTGGACACTACTTAGCAACTAAACAACAAAATGATAATTTATAAAAGAAATCCAGGCATAAATTTATAACTTGTTTGGGTGAAGAATCAAAGATCAAAGGCAAAATGTCCTCATTATGTATTTCATAGGTAATCTTCTAGGTACTTCTCTAGAAACATAACTCTAGTTTTTAGATTATTCTGTTCTATTCTTGATACAATTTGTCTCCCAGTTATTTCCAGCATGTTGTTTGCTTTGTTCTGCAATTTTACCTAAAACATATTATTTCTACTTTATATGTACATGTTAAAATCTAAACACAAAAGTAGGAGTCAGGAAAAAAAGACCTAGGAGTTAGTTTGCTGCTATTTCTCCATCCATGCTTCTTAGAGTAATAAAGCAAACTATTTCCTCATCTCTGTTATCTATATGAGGTTTTCTTCTTTTTCCCCTATCCATGCGCTGTGGTACATATCAAGTCTCAAACTAGATTGCCCTACCAAAGACTGGTAATTAAGAGCTAAAATTGATTATTTGCCAACTGTAAAATGATGACAAATCTATTCACCTTTTAAATTATTGGAAGAAAAGAAAAATAATTCCTGAAAATCATTTAGCACCATACTGGGCATGTGATTATCATTTCAAAAAATTAGTAATTATTTTTATAACCAATAACATTTGCCAGAGTAGGAATTAGGATTTCATTTTCAGCACTTCTATAGACATCTTGGTTTGCCAGCAGCCTCTGAGCTCTAAGTTACAAGCTCTAACAACAGTGGCAGCTTTGAACTCCCTGATCTCCTCTCTATTACCAGCCTGTCCTCAAGGCTCCTGAGGGCAGAGCCAAGGGAAGTTCTGGTCTTTTCATCTTATTTACCTTTGGTCCCAGAAGGCATGCACCACTTAGAAACAATAGGACATCAGACTATAGTTTGTGTGCTGGATCTCCAAGAAGCATGTCATTTTGATTCAAATAACCCAGAGAAATGAGAGGACCTTCCTATGGGACAGAGATGTGGGTCAGCCTGCCCAACACTGGCTTGATTTTCTGAGCTGTAACTGACAAGTTCTGCCAGCCAAGTTTTCTGTCCACCCGAGGAGGGAAGGGATTTGACTTGGAAGGTAAGGCTTATCGGGGCACAGCCTACAGAGTTATCTTATCTGCGCAGTTTACGGAGTTACCTTTGACTGTCCCAAGGCCCTTCTCTTTATCTTTATGGCCCAAAGCTGTCCAAAGTACCACACTAGACTCTGGCAGAAATTGGGGTGTGCTCTCCACCTTAATTTTCCTTGAAAGCTCCTGTATGGGCTGAAAAATGTGCTTAAACCCACCTAACATGCACATAGGCACCCACACACACCTTCACACATATTCCTGTAGCAGGTGACTTAAAGGAGAGCAGGGTATGGACGGAAGGAGAAAATGAGCAGGTAGGTAGCAGACTGGTTTTTATGGGCTCAGAGAAGAGGTCACAGGAAGGAGGAAAGCAGGGAAGATAAAAGGCAACAGAGGAGAAACTGAAAGAGGCTCAAAAATCAGTTGGTTATTGTTTAAACCACTTATCTTGGGTACCATAAAATAATACCTGCAATCCGATTAATAAGTAAAGAAAAAGAGGAAAATGACCACCCCGAGCACAGGGTCCCAGGCTGCATTTAGGAAAGGCACAGCTTCCTTCCAACAGTGATGAGGTCAGGCCCATTGGGGTGAAGAGCAGGTGCAGAAACCATAGCAAGGCAAGAGGGTACAGGCGGCAAGTGGGTGAGGACCTCCAGTTATCACGACAGCACTGCTTACTCACACCAGAAACTCACATCAGCTGTTCTGTGCCATCCCCTACACACTCTCTCTCCTCCCGCCTGGTGGGACAAAGCTTCCATCTACACCCATTTTAGGCATCCGTCTGGGGCTCACGGGGGTCCCCATGGGCATGGAAAGTGGCAGATCATGCAGTGTAAAGGTGCCTGCGTGAGACTGCGCTTGGCTGGTCCCTCCAGTACTAAGATGAGACTGGGAAGATCATGAGCCAGTTTCTCATCTGTGTAACGATGTGTCGCCTTTGCTGTGTGAGCTTTGTCCAGGGAGCATCGCCTTCCTCAGGGGTGGAGGGAGGGCAGAGGCTCGTGTACACTCGTGCACACCAGCCATCTCTGCTTACCCATCTCTGTTTGGAGTTTTTCTGGAAAAAGAATGAGAATAACATATCAAGGAATTTGTTCTAAGAGAAAGGAGAGAAAATATTTCCTCCCCCTCCCCCAAAACGCAAGGCCTACATTTTCTCAAAACAGGTGATTCCTAAGAAAGAAATAAAATGTAGAAAAATAATGATTTTTCTCCATCCATCACCTGGTAGTCCAGCTATTATTCCCTTTCTCTGCACAACAAGAATGTTCTCAATTCTACCACCCCATAATTCTGCTTGTTTCTGCTTATCTTTAATGTATTTAACTATTTTATTGAAACAATAATATTCTTTTTATAAATTCAGGCCCCTTGGGATGAAGAGCAGGTGCAGAAACCATAGCAGGGTGAGAGGGTACAGCTGGTGGGTAAGGCCAGTTACCACGATGGTGCTGCTTACCCACACTAGAAACTCACACTAAAAACTCACTCTAGAAACTCACACTAGGTGTCCTGTGGCTTCCCCTAGACACTCCCTCTCCACATATGTGAAAAGTATATTTTTATACCTTTATAATATGTGGACAAAGACAATTATCACCCATAATTACAAACTGCTGCTGCTGCTAAGTCACTTCATTCGTGTCCAACTCCGTGCGATCCCATAGACGTCAGCCACCAGGCTCCCCCGTCCCTGGGATTCTCCAGGCAAAAATACTGGAGTGGGTTGCCATTTCCTTCTCCAGGACAGGAAAGTGAAACATGAAAGTGAAGTCACTCAGTTGTGTCCGACTCTTCACGACCCCAGGGACTGCAGCCTACCAGGTTCCTCCATCCATGGGATTTTCCAGGCAAGAGTGCTGGAGTGGGCTGCCATTGCCTTCTCCGAATTACAAACTGAGAGGTATATTAATATATGCTTTGCAATTATATATACATATGTATAGATAAATTTGACTCCTTTTAACAGCAACATATAACGTTTAATGTTTTCCCTATAACTATTTATATAAATAACTAAGTACTTACATCTTTAAATATCTAAATGTAGAGGATGTCCCAAAAGTCTTAGCGCAATTTTAAGTTATTTAAAGCCAATAATCTTTAAATGATTGGAAATGTCTATTTATAGATAGATATAATCTTTATCATTTAAATGGTCCATCGGGGTTATTTTCAACCATTAAAATTATTTGAAATACTGTTTTTCAATCAATGCTATAATGTAATAAGACACTTTACACTCCACTGTTATATTGGGTTTCTGGCTGCTATTTTTGCTGCTCTTTATAAATGAGGCTATAATAAAGATGCATTACTAAATAGTTGTCTCCATCTCTGATTATCTTCAGGTGATAAGTTCCTAGATGTAACTGGCAAAAATACAGCACGAGAAAACATTTCAATTGAATGAATAGTTGTGTTTCCTTCACAGTGTAACACATACTTGTGAGAAAAGAAAATTAATAAAGAAGAAAAGGCGGAATCCAAAAATAAATGGAATGCCATTAACAATATAGCTATATAGGCTATGTATATCTCCAGCCATAAATGTTTTATAGTTTTTAATGCATATTGATGCTTCCCTGGTGGTTCAGATGGTAAAGAATCCACCTGCAATGCAGGAGCCTAGGGGTCAGGAAGATCTCCTAGAAAAGAAAAATGGCAACCCACTTCAGTATTCTGGTCTGGAGAATTCCATGGACAGAGAGCTTGGCAGGCTACAGTCCATGGGGTTGCAAAGAGTCAGACATGACTGAGCAACTAACACACACACACAATGCATATTACTAAATATTAGATATTCTTCTTGATTAAAAAATATTATGTGCTACAAAACAGTTCCTTTAACCTTTCCTGCTAATGGAAGCATCTTGGTCCTAGAGGTAGAGCACTGACCTGGGATGGAGACATCTGAGCCCTTCTCCTCGGGGAGTGAGGGGTGGTGGATGAAGCAGGACACAGTCTCTGTAGAGACACCCCTGACCACAAGAGTGCTTTCTACATAGAACAAGCCATCTTCATCTTGGGAGATATGATCAGAGAAAGTCAGCAACTTTTCTCCCTTGATGTCTTGCCAGGAAACCTGAGGTTCCGGGAACCAGCCCTTTGCAGTGCATACAAGCTGGAATCCACTTTCCACAGACCCGTCCATGTGGATGTAAGGGTCAGACCCCAGACCTGTGGTAGAAAGACACAGCCCTGGGTCCCGGAGCCCATGGAGGCACAAATCACAGAGCTGGGAGTCCAGTGACCTTGCTCATAGGGAGAGAGCAGGAGCTTAAGGCTCTGGGGAGCAAAAGGTGGCCTTAAGTCCTCCTCCCATTCAAACTGAAGCTCACATACCCTTTATACCCTAGTCTGGATCTTTAAATTCTAGCATATGAGCAGTATTTTCATTCAGACTCAGATAGGAAAATAAGGGTTACATAATGACATTTTGCTTCTGTCTCTAGCACTGCAAACTAAGATTTGTTACAATTTACTCACGAACTGCCTTGTGCCACAGACTTTGCCGTTTTCATTAATATTATTGCGTCAGGCACTGGGACATGTTGGATAATATCATGACTCCAATTTAAATAGAATATTTACTGTAAAGTGAGATCTCTTTTACAGAGAGAATATTCCCCCCATTCCTTTTGTTCTTGGTTGTGACTTGGAGGAGAAAACAGATAACCTGAGGTATGCAAAATGGCAAGTCTCATGAGGACTTTCTGTATCTAAGTATTCCATTCCATGGCAAAGGTTTTTGAGAATCCTAGTTTTTTATAATCATGAAATTCTTTCTCTATTCAACACAACTCTCAAACCCAAACAAGGGGGATTCTATTTTCCATAGATGACAATTTTGTCTCTACCACTTGTTGAGAACAGAGACCGATTTTCTTCACCCAGAGCCTTAGAAAATGCATGGCTTCTTTTCAGATGTCCCTGGAAGTGAAATGCCTTAGTACAGGCCCTCCCCACTCCATATCTCAGAAGTTTGTGGATTCTTATCATCCATCTTGAATCAACTTGAACTTAATAACAGTAATAATCACACATAGGTGTTGAGAAAAAGAAGGTGTTGGAGATCAACCTCCTAGGGGAACAAAGAAGAGAGCAGCATCAGCTAGAGAGGTTAAATTCTCCTTAGAACAATTTTCCTGATAAGGTAAATGGATTTGCCTAATTTTTTCTTCTGGGCTTCCCTGGCAGCTCAGTGGTAAATGTAAATCTGCCTGCCAATACAAGAGATGTGGATTCAACCCCTGGGTTGGGAAGATCCCTTGGAGAAGGAAATGGCAACACACTCCAGTATTCTTGTCTTGGAAATCCCATGGACAGAGGAACCTGGCACGCTACAGTCCATGGGGTCACAAAGAATCAGACATGACTTACTGACTAAATGACAAGAGCAATTTTCTCTTTAGCACATGAAGTAGTTACTCCTGCCAGGGACCATATGATCGATTACTTTCAGAGATTTGTTTTTCCACAGAGCTATCCTTTCTTCCAACCCCTTCCTGCTTTGCTAACACAAAGCATCATGCAGGTCCTTGCCACTCACAATGGGTATGTCCCCAAATCATCTGTGAGCCCCAAATTCACTGAGCACTAGTATCCACAATCTCCATAAAAGCACAATGTTCTTAACCTCTGCAATCTCATCATTAGCTTTTTAACTGAAGGCGGCATTACTCAAACAGTGAGTTTACTTCTCAGTGACTGCGTATTTGAGGCTGAGTAGAGAACAGAGATACGGGGCTTGTCAACTAGGCTCGCTCAAGTAGTAGCTGACTTGCCTTTGCACACTAACCCGTATGGCATGAATTCCTGCCTCAGCAAAATTGCTAATGACTACATGTCATCAATTTTAAATAACCCTCAAGAATAGCCAAAACTGTGTAAGTTAAACTTGGGGAAATTGTTTATATAAGTGAGCTCACTTTAAAGCCTGCAAAACCACTTGCCTCCAAATAAATCAGAAGACTGGACATCAGCAATTGCCTCCATGATTAAAAGAAAATTGTTCAACTGGAAATGAACCTAATGCAGGTTAATATACTTCCCCTTCTAGAGCTTATGTCTTTCCCCAGATACTCACTGGCTACTTGGAGCAGCAGGCTTGTTTCTGCAAGGTAGTTGTTGTCTTTGAAACGGCACCAGTACTGCCCGTGATCGGATGGCCGGAGGCTGTGAATCTTCAGAGCCACGCTTCCCTCAGTGATGCCGTCTTCTATCCACTCTACCCGGCCTCTGTACTCCTCCATCTGTATCTCTGTTACCTCATCTCCACCCTGATGCAAAAACACAGGAATGCTGGGCTCCGAGCGGTACCACCTCACCTCCATGTCCATTGCGGTCCTCTTGGGAAGGAGCTGACAGGTGAGCTGGGCATCTTCTCCCACCATGGCCAGGATAGGATGGGCAGAACCCGTCACTCTAAAGTCATCTACAAAAGAGTGACACAGAGGAATTGGGAAGTGCCACCTGGAGGAGCAATACGATTGCTTTGGGATGTCTACTTGATCAAAACAGAGGCCCCTGGAGGAGGGAAGGTTCTATTTGCAATGTTTTAAAGAAACTCAGCATTATATGTATGTTTGGTGGCTACAGACATAATCTTGTGTACTGAAAATAGCATGGAGTTCAAAAACCTGAGTACAAGTGCTAAATCTATCACTTACCAGCTGTGTGATTTGGAGAGAAATCCATTATTCTCAAGAAACTGATTTGCAATCTTAATTTCTTCATCTTTAAGATTAGCAACTACCATCTCTGCACTGCTTTTATTCTCAAATAAGTTAAAGTGTAAACTGATTTTCTAATTGAAAACTGTATTAGTTAGTGGCTTATTTTATATTTTACTGTGATTTATTTTATAGTTAGTAATTTCACAGAGGATAAGACAGTTGGATGGTATCACTGACTCAATGGACATGAATTTGAGCAAACTCAGGGAGATAGTGGAGGACAGGGAAGCCTGGCATGTTGCAGTTCATGGGGATGAAAAGAGTCAGACATGACTTAACGACTGAATGATAACAATTTCACTTTAGTGACTGACATTGTAATCACTTTTCCTAAACTTTAGGTAATAGATTTATTCAATAGACTTTTCAGCTTTTCAGAATTGTTCTTGTCTTGTCCTAAGTAATGAACTGGATTTTTGTTTGTTTGTTTGTTTGTTTGTTTGTTTTTCTCTGAAACAGGCAAGATTCCAGTTACTAGGGCTATGTAAAATGCAGCTTTTGCAAGGATATTTTTGGAAGATTAAGGGCGGTGATTAGTATAAAGAGTTCGAGCCTTCCAATAAAATTTTAAGTCATGTTTGACTTCTTATCTACAAATTGAAGAGATGTTTCATAATTATGTATGTTCCTATGCTTCCTAATTTCATGTCATGTATATTATGTTTTTTTCTCATTCTAAAATAGTCCAGGGCCAGTTGCACTTTCTCTGTGCAGATCCAAACCTCCTAAGAAGGAACTTCATCTCGCTGAGTTGTTGTTCAGCATCAAGTCGATGGTGCTCACTATGGAACATGGGTGGATATCTACTGGTATTCTGTGCTGATGAAATCTGAACATAACACTAGAACTGAAGTTGTGCCATCTGGGTGAATTTTACAGCTTAGGAAAGTGCATCACTAGAGAGGAGGGCAGCCTCACCACATCACGCAGCTCCTGGCAGCCTCTGTCTGGACCCTGTGATTTCCGATGTCTTGTGCCCATGCTTTTTTCCCACCTTGTCATCCTGCATTTTACTGGGGGTTCTGACATTACCCACTGGCCTTGAATTTTCACAATCCCTTTTCAAGATATAATATTTCAACCAAGAAAATTTAGCTACTGAGCTTTCCAAGCCCATTTCTTGAAATCTTCTTCTAGTTTATTTCCATGTATTTTTATACTGTTTAATTGATGGTAAGAAGCAGCCTCTTTTCTTGCCCTGAAAGAACTATCCTGAATAGAATCAGGAGACTGAGTGACTCACCATGTTCCAGGTGCTGATTCAAGTGTTTTTCATGTACAGCCTCATTTAATCTTAAAGCCCATGTGAGCCTATGAGATACAGTTAGGTTGTCATTCTTAAGGATGAGAAAACTAAGGCAGAAGGTATTCAAGTAACTTTCTGAACATAACACAGCTGGAGGAGAAGGAGGTCTTTGTGGAACACAAGGGCTTTGACCCCTGGATCCCCGCTCTTAATATTATACTAGCTCTTTTGAATTTGGAAGTCGGCACCCAGACTGGATCTCTGAGACACTGGAATATATAATAAAGGGAAGAAGAGCATCCTACCTGATTGCTTCATGCTGAGAAGTATAAAGAAGAAGGAGGCAAACACACCAGACAGGCTGTATCCAGGAAGCTCCACCATCCTCCCTGGGGTAAACACAAGAGAAAATACAACTGTACCTAAATGTGACTACAATACACAAGTGCTTCTGTGGTTTCCAGTGGTTATGGAGACGTAACAGGGAAGCAACATCAACACCTTCCACAATGAAATGATGAAATGGGCTTGGCTCTCTGCTTTTATCAATCATTTCCAACCTCTTACTTACACTGTTGTACTTTATGCTATTTAGGGCACTGAAGGTAGATTTCTGACTGAAATGAAATGATCTTTGGGGCCAAAGGGACGATGATGCTTTGATTACAAAAGGTCTCCTTCGGTCCATCTATTCTGAGCATGCAGAATTAGAGAGCAGTATTCAATTACTTTTTCTCACCCCTCCGCTTTCAGTCGGTCCTGCAAAGTCCCTCATCTCTACAGTCTCCTGGATGCAAAGGAGAGCAAGAAGGCATCAGAAGCAGGAAGCCACCACCAGGAGAACACCGGGGCAAGGGGATGCCTTGGAAAGTAAAGAAAATAATAGTGGAAACGGTGATACAGAAGAAGATGACCAAGGAAATGATCTTGAATAACCTTTCAGTATCATCTTTCTGTATCATCTTGAAGACACATAGAAATGAATAAAAGAAAGAGCCTAATTGGTAGAGATGGGCAAACTCAACATGTCCATTGTAACCAACAACATAAAAATACTTCTACACAGTTAAAATATTTTAAAACTACCTAGTTTAAAATGCTGGATTTATGTGGGGGGAAATGCAGCAATAAAATAAAGTCTGGCTTATAATCTTTGTTACACTAAAAAAATAAAAAATAAAAAAAAATAAAATGCTGGATTTAGTTTTGGAAAATGAAACACTCAGGGTGAAATGTATCTAAGACTTAGTCTATCAGCTGTGTTAAGAATCTTATGGAAAGAAAAACTTCACATCACATGTAAGAACTTGCACAAGAGCAATAAGTTATTGCTCCTCTCCCCCCCATAAACTAATGCCAATACAATTTTACAGAGCAGGAGGAAAAACCAACACTCATCTGAAATGGAGATGATGAACTAAATGGCTCAGGAGGTTACTTTTACAGTATTATGACTGTTTACTCTCTGAAGTGATGCCCTGTTGTTTTTTGTTGTTATTTAGTTACAAAGTTGTGTCCAACTCTTTTGGGACCCCCATGGATTGTAGCCTGCCAGGCTCCTCTGTCCATGGGATTTCCCACACAAGAATACTGGAGTAGGTTGCCATTTCCTTCTCCAGGGGATCTTCCCAACCCAGGGATTGGAACCTGCGTCTTCTGCATCTCCTCCATTGCAGGCAGATTCTTTATCCCTAAACTACCAGGGAAGCCCCTTTCATCTAAAATATCTCTAGGAAATGTGATATGAGCCCAGTCACAAAACCACAATACCTGAGAGTGGTCAAATATTTAAGGAAAATGAGGCTGAGGGTTAGAAGACAGTGCAGAACAGTAGTAGTTTGCCGCTTGAAAAGGATCAGTCCCATTCCCTCAGATGGAAGGAAATTACCATCCTGACTTCTTAACTCCTCCTGGGGAAAGCAGAAACATGTGGTTCCAGCAAGTAAAAGCTAAGAAAACCTGCAAAGTCCATGCCAAAGTACCATCACTCACTGAGGCAAACTAAGAAAGACCCACACTTGCTACAAATCAGTTTGTAAGCTTATGTTCCTTTAGACTCTTTATGTGAAAGCAGAGAGAAAACTGACAAAAGTACTCTGGGAAAAAAGCTGTCCAAACCAGGGAAGCTTTTGAAGAAAGCTGTGAAAATGCATGTGAACCTTCAATGAGGCTCAGAAAGAGATTGGTGAGAGAGTATAAACAGGGAGAATAAATGCCTTAAACCAGGGTTCTCAGTGGGAAGGGAGGAGGGTTTGCCTTTGGAAGGCATTCGACAATGTCTGCAGACATTTTCGGTTGTCACACCTAAGGGGAGGGGGACATATAATGAGTACTAGCCATCATTGCTGCTAAACATCCTACAACACACAGGAAAGCCCCTACAGCAAAGAATCACCCGTCTCAAATGCCAATGAAAAAAAACGTGAAAAAGAAAGTTGCTCAGTCGTGTCCGACTCTTACAGTCCGTGGGATTCTCCAGGCAAGAATACTGGAGTGGGTAGCCTTTCTCTTCTCCAGGGCATCTTCCCAGCCCAGAGATCAAACCAAGGTCTCCGGCATTGCAGGCGGATTCTTTACCAGCTGCGCCACCAGGGAAGCCTAAGAATACTGGAGTGGGTAGCTATCCCTTCTCCAGGGGATCTCCCTGACCCAGGAAATGAACTGGGGTCTCCTGCATTGCAGGAGGATGCTGCAAATCCGGCTGAATCATCACCATGTGATAGACAAGGAAGCAAGGCTCAGGGGCACAAACACAGCTTCAGACAAGACAAACAAGTAATATGATCCTGGTTTTCTGAGGCTTAATCTAGAGCCCCTTCTTCACCCAGCCTGCTTCACTGCAATATTGTGAGGCTCAAATACACCATGGCAGCACTTTGACAAACATAGGGTGGGGTGAGTATAAAATACAAGTAGGCAGTGTTACACCAAGTGGCAGAGCGTCCCTGCCAGGCGTCTCTAGGCCCTGCTTCCTCATCTTAGTCAACTCCCCCATCCTCATCCTCCCCGACCAGGGACTCTCCAGTCCACTCACGTGTCCCCCTCTCTCCTTTGGGGTGAAGGCAGGGGGCTGCTGGGGTCCCTCCTCACCTGGTCTCGGGTGCGCCCTTCATCCACAGAGCAGGTTCCACAGACAGGTCGGAGCCTGAAGTGCTGCCTGGAGGAAGAATGGGGCACAGTCAAAGGGGGGAGGCAACCCCGGTCCCCTGGGCTTTGGGTGAAGGTGTTAAGCTGCCTCCCCCAAACGGAAGGAAAAGCCAAATCCCTGAAGATGAAACTTCAGTCAGAATCACATCTTCACCTCCTAGCTGTAATCCTTTGAAAAGTGAAACGTAGGTGGCAAGTGAACTTTGACAGGGTTTAGTTATGAGTTCTTCAGACCTGCAGACCAAACTGTAACCTTTACACTCCTCACCCTTTCCCAGAAAGCCAGGCCCCATCTAACATCTGCTCTGGGCCATCTTGGAAGGTCCTCACAGCCCCTCAGGCTGGCCATCTGTCTAGACAGCCCCTCCACCTCCCCTCACGTTAAGGACTCCCGCCCAGTGTCAGGCCTCCACAAAACAGTGCACACGGGGCTTAAAGTTGGACGCAAGACTGGATAACAAGTATCCTTCCCGTCTTCTAATGATGAGAAGCCCGAGGCCCAGAGACAGGAACTACTTTCTCCAGGAACAGAGCTCCAGGCCAAGGTCTCTCCTGCTAGTTTATTGCTCTTTTAACGTTGGTTCTTTATCTCCCTTTGATGGGTAATAAAGAGCTTAATTAGTACAGACGTTGAACCAAAGAAATTTAAAAAGATACTGTGTTTAGGCACAAACATTATAAAGAGAGAAGTTATAGGCACATTCATTGTGTGTGTGTGTGTGTGAGCGTGCGCACTTTGGTTTAACTTAGATTTTCCTTTAAGTTCCCCTTTAAGTCCATTCCTTGAATCAGAGTGCAAGTATCTCTGGGATCTGCAGATACAAGCATACTTCCTTTAATCGTGCTTCCCAGGTATTGCATTTTTTAAACAGATTGAAGGTTTGTGGCAACCCTAAGCCAAGCACGTCTATTGGCGCCATTTTCCCAACAGCATTTGCTCACCTCATGTCTCCATGTCCCAGCTTGGTAATTCTCCCAGTATTTCTTTTTCATATTATCATATTTGGGTGGCGATCTGTGGTCAGTGAGCCTTGATGTTATTCCTACCACTCACAGAAGGCACAGGTGATAGTTAGCATTTTTTAGTAATAAGGTATTTTTAATTAAGATACATAGCTTTTTAGACATAATGGTATTGCACACTAAATACACTACAGCAGAACATAAATGTTAACTTTTATAAGCTCTGGGAAGCCAAAAACTTTGTGTGACTCGCTTTATTGTGATATTCCCTTTATTGTGGTGGTCTGGAATCACACCCACAGTATCCCTGAGGTATGGCTTCTCAAGAATTAAAAAGTTCTCCAAGACAACTCAGCTGTAAATATTCATTTCAATATAAAATATAAGCATATGCAACATTACTATGTGAAAGCATTTAAGCGAATTTTTTTTCCTGAAGCTTCTTCCTCTCCCTTGGTGAGGTCCACCCATATTTGGGCCACCTAACTTGAGACTGCTCTTCTTAATGAAGAATTTTTTTCCTGCTACCTTTAGTGCAGATAAAGACCTTTCTCATGTTGAAGGATGAGGAGTTTGAAGAGGAGAAATAAAGTAATTAAACCTTGGTGAAAACTCCTTTACCCCATTTCTTTCTCTCAGGGAGGGTGGAGAGGACGCTGCCCCGCTTCGCCTCTGGTTCCCGGAACGGCAGTGATGCCACAGGCGTGTCTCTTCAACAACAGCCCCAAAGAGCAGCAGCAGAGGGAAAGCTACTCGAAGCAAGAAGAGGGGGACCCTGGAAGATTCAACTCTTAGAACGAAAGATTGCTGCCTCAAATGCTGGCATGGATGATACAGCAAGAGGAAAGTGATGGCGTGGATATAACAGTCTTCATCACCAATACGGGAAGGACAACCAGGGATGCTGTGACCATGACATACAGTGGGAGTCAACACTGTATGGAGTCAACAAAATGAGGACTGCCTTCTCCAGCAGTCCTGCCCCACCTCCTGCCTGGGGACTTAGAAATAAGCCTGGGCAGAGGGCTGCTTTTAAATTATTAATGGTCAAGAAAATCATGGGGTATTCTGAAAATTACTAGATTGACCCCTTTGCTCTAAGACATGATAGGGCTTGACGTAAAAATTCAGATCAGTAATAGGAAAACAGAACTTTATTTTTTCACACTCAATTTTGTGGTATCAAAAGCTATTTGTTACACACATTCTGTATCATTTTGATGGTATGTAAAGTGCTGGTATTTTCCCAGGACTTTAGGACTTGTCTTTGCACT